TCAGCTTACTTATCAAATTGAGTAGAATGTTTACAAGATTAAACAATATTAAAGGAAAACGAAATTATCATTAAACTTAATAATTCCATTAAATTAAGCAAGTATAACATTTTGAAAAGATGATATTTGCAATTTTTTTGAATTTTAAAAGTAAAAAGTTGTTCTTTCCAATTCTACTAATAGGACATAAACATGTTCTTGGCTGTTTATTATTACTCAATCAATGTTGCTTGATGTATGCCCTGATGAACCAACCTTGAAGTAATTTAATTTTATACAATATTCACAGGATGATGTTAAAAAATATTTTATCAAATTCATTACTTTCAATATTTAAAACTTTTACAAGTATGGCTAACATGACCATATTTTTTGGGAGAAAATAAAGGACAAATCAGGAAGTGTTTAATAATAAAAAAAGCAGGTTACATTTATTTGTTTCACTAAAACTAAAAAGCTTTATAATATTTATTAGAAAATATAAGCGTATATGTAACATTTTAAACAATCATATTTACTTTAAAAAAATGTAATTTTGATACATTTCACAAGAATGAACATTTTAATAAATCAGATTTACGTTTTAAAAATTTGTAAAACTGCATGTAATGCATGTCAAAGTTGCATTTGGTATAAACACATGCTTCCAGTGTTTTGATCTGTAATTGGCCCCAAATTGTTCACTAATGAAAATATTTATTTGAAGGTGATATTAGATCCAGGAAAATGTAACCAAAATTTGACAATTCTTAAAATGATTTTAAAAGATATGTGTTTATCTGTGAAATATTAAAAAATTTCAATCTGGCTACATTTTTTTAAAACTCTACACTCTGTGGGCACTAAGAGGGCATTTTATAGAAAGCTCATTTTGGGTTTGTCCAGGTCCACAATGGAGAGACCTGATGGTGAGCAACAGGGCCCTACATATCCAGACACCATTCCCAAAAAATTCCTGGGGTTTTTTGACCCATTCAGATTCAATCCCAGATTCTCAGAGCAGTAGGCTGCCACCTTAACTGCTTGGCCATCCAGCCACCATCTACATTGTCATTTTGTCAACATTCTTAGATCTTTTCACTGGTGATGTAACTTTTAATACACAGAACTTTGTAAAATAGTTTACTGTCATTTATATTTAGTTCCAACAAAATGTTTTCCTTGATTTTCTCTGCCACAGAGTGATTTCTCATAGGCCCCATTCAAATACTTTCATTTCCACAAAAAAGCTGTTCCAGTTATTTGAATAATCAATACAGGTTTGGTAAAAATTATATATTGTGTAAAATAATTTTGGTAAAATGAATATTGGTGTGTATGTGTGTGTGTGTGTGTGTGTGTGTGCGCGCACTGATATTCAGTTTACTATTTCATTTATTAAATAAAGGACAAAATGACCATTTTCAAGAAAAAGTACATCTAAAGGACAAAGCAGTGAAATAAAGGACATATGGTCACTGTATGTATAGTGATAGAAATTTTCTTTTATTGTTGTAATTGCTTTCTTGAACTTTTCAGTTGTTATTACAAATGTTCCTAATTACACTGTTGAAAGATGATAAATTCTGTGCATTGTGTTACTTAAGTAAACAAGAATTAATGGAAAAAACCTTATTCTTGTGTATGTATAGAAACAATTATTGTAATTTTGTGCAGATAACCTATGGGTTATCTGTGTTTGAAAGATAATTTATAAGAGAAATATAGTAAAGAGATTATGTGATGGGTGGGTTATATGCCAATTTTTAATTCCAATCACAAATTAAAGTTAATTTATACTATACTGGTCAATAATATTGATAATAAAATTATTTTCTGTATAATTTTTCTGAGTTTATTTTATTATTATTACTGGACAAAGGAAATTAATCATAAAATAAAAACAATAAATTGTATTTATTTATTTTTACACTTAATTTATATAATCGGGATAGTTCATAAACATCTGCAATCAAATTATGTGGTGACCAGCAAGTACAAGGTTGAATTTCTCAGAATCCACTTTGCTATTAAGATTAAGTACAGCACCCGAGGCATGAGCAGTCTTTAAACACACATTAGTGAAGACAATACACATGCTTGTGTGTATATGCCACTGTGCTAAGTTATTGTCTTTGCTAACATGTGCTTGAATTGAAAGTTAATTTTTTAAAATATTTTATATTTAAAATTTTTGAAATGTAAATACAAAAAAATATTTAAGTTTTTGTACATTTTGTACATAATTTTTAAAATATTTTAAAATTTAATATTTAAATATATTTGAAGACTTAATATTTTAAACTTTATAGAAAAGTTAGTTTAATTAATGTAAAATGGATTTCTACATTACAGAGCTTAAAAAAATAAAGCAAAAAGGTAATGTCAACTTTAATTTTGATTTTGTTAATTATTATTTTGAATAAAATTTAGTAATTATTAAATAAAATTATTAAATTAATTCAAAAATTATTATGATTATTAGTTAATTTTATAAAAATTATTTTATAGTAATTATTAGTAGTTATTCAAACTATAATCTGAATAATTTGGAAATTAAAATGATTGTTATAGATTATTTTGGCTTAGTTGTTTAGGTATATCTACAATGATTTGTTAACAGAAATGAAACAGAAAAAATAATATTTTAACGCTTGAAATGGCAACTTGTAACCTACATACTGGTAATTATCTTGTTCTCAACAGCCCCCAGAGACATTGATATACAGTAAAGCAGATTATACAAAAGCTTTTTTTTGTTCTTACAATTTTCCGTAGGGTAGACACCATCATAGGTTATTCACACAAAATTATGCTAAAAGTTATACAAAACTTTCTTTGCAATTTTTGTTATAACTCTTAACTGTTTATATATATATATGCATAAGTAANAGATTTTGATGACATTAAGAAAGTTACACTTATTTGTCAGATAGAAAAAGATTTGTAGTAATAATTGTGTTTAAATGGCTAAATTTAGTTTTTAATTATTCCATTTTTAAATGTTTAGTACTTTTATCCTAATTTCTCTATCGATGAATATATTTATTTTATATAAGTTAATGTTTTGTCATTAAAACATAGCATTTCTAATGATATATATTTCTATATATTTTAAATGTTATCACTAGGATTATCAAACCTGGTGTGATCTAAAAGAATTGGAATCAGAAGTAGGACAGAGATATTTAACTCATAAGTCCGACGATGCACGTTGGGAAGCGTACCGATGCCAACATAATCTCCCTCCTGCTCCAGCATCACCTTATCCATTGGAGACAGATGAAGACAATATGGAGGAAAGCGATTCTAGTCCATCTGCAGACACGACTGTGGATTCTATAGGAAAGTCAAAAAATACAAATATGTAAAGAAGTTATCTAATAATGTTTCAATTATAGTTTATATCAGCAAATTGCATAAAAAAAGGATACAATTCATTTTACGTTTATCAGTTTTTAGAGTAAAACAATAAATAATTCGCATTAGACTTAATCAGATTATTAAAATGATTAATGTTAAATAATATATACCAAATTGGTATATTTTTTCTTATAGATAACTTATGAGAAAGTTTTTAATATTGGACTTTGAAATATTAAAAAGGAATTTCAGAAGTTATATAGCATTTAGAATATCTATCATCATTAAATGGTTAAAACTTATTTAGAACATTTGTGTAATTGTATAAAATTAATGAAAAAAAATTTATACATGTAATGACTAATGCAACAGTTTTTTATGGTATATATTGAATATATTTATAACAAGTTAACAAATTTTATTACGTTACATGTTCTGCATGGCTGATAAAACAAATATTGCGAGTCAAAGCATAGTTCATGGACTTGAAAGGTTCTTGCAAGATTAGCATCTGTTTGAATTTCATATCTGAAAGCACTACTTTTCAAATGAAAAGTTTATTTGCAGGAAGTAAACTTTGGGATGCTGGGAGTCGAGGTTATCCTTCAACTCTGTAGTAAATAAATGTTCAAGATTTAAATTTTACTCACAATGCATAGTAGGGCAGTAAGGAGCATATTGATTTGCAGCAGAACGGCATAAGAGTATCTAATGCCCTAGACAAAGAAAATTTAGGCACCCCTATATATTATTTGTAAATATATATTATCATACTAACACAATCACACATGTATTCCTATATGTGTAGATACAGTTGACCTCCCCTATAACACGGTAGATACGTTCTGGTTTTTATGAATTCATTTTCTACGAGTCCAGCCAATCACAGCCCGGCACGTATGCAGTTTACAGACTATGGCTGTTTGAAAGGTTTCTTTCATAAAATTAATCGATTCTAGACTAATTCGACTCAACATTTCCAAAATACGTATAAGTTTTTGGGAATAATCCATATAAACTATGCTATAAACAAAAAATCGTAGGATTACTTACCGAGCGTGCACTGTTCGACTACGGGGAACCAAGCTTAAGCAATGGCTTAAGCTTGTTTTCGTCATAGAGCTTGTCATTGAATGGCGCTCGTGTGCTTCCTGATAAATTATTTTTTTTGCAAAAAATTAACTGAACATTGGAGACATCATTAATATAAATATAATTTTTATGGGCGTTAAATAATAAATGGTTTTTAGTAGGTCCGCTGCTCGTTTAAACTCAAAAGTTTGTACAATATCCACTATTGGTCTAGATTTGACCAATCCTGTTTCCCGATAAGTTATTTTTCTGCGAAAAATTCGCTGAACTTTGGAGACATCATTAATATAAATATAATTTTTATGGCCATTAAATAATAAGTGGTTTTTAGTAGGTCTGCTGCTCATTTAAACTCAAAAGTTTGTACAATATCCGTTATTGGTCCAGATTCGACCAATCCTGTCGCGACATGAGTTGGCGATGACATTTTACATGTTATACTAGTCTCTTTTAGCATGTTATATGAACACAATCACAATTTTTTTTGCCGTGTTATATGAATCCATGTTATATGAACCCGTGTTATAGGGGGTCTACTGTATAATAAATATTAAAAAATTAAATAATATTAATTAAAAAAATCACATACTTGTCTATGGGTTCATCTTTTGGATCAATCCATTTCATATCTGTAAACAAATTAACATTTTCTGCAGATCCTTGACACGTTAATACAAAACCCTTCCCAGCCGGTTGAGATTGTTTTTCACCCACAGGTTTTATAATCAGTTCTGCCCCAGAGACTATATGAAACCATAAAACTGNATTATTATATAATTCTTAACTTCATGGAGCTCATTTCAACATATACAAGCATATTATATCATTGAACTAATGCATATGAATAATTTTCAAAAAGAATGGGATGTTAACATTTTCTTCCCTGTACTAAAACTAATTATAACTAGGTAATAAAATAATAAATAGGTAAAAGAATTTAGGTAATAAAATACTATCAATATTTCTTCTACCTATTTATTATCAATTGATCAAATTAATAATGCCATTTGCATTACATATAATGCAAATGCCATTATCAATATTTTATTACTTGTTAATTGAATATTTATGGTTGACTTAAGTACTTTCTTATCAAGAAAAATAAATCAGATTTTTTGTAACATTCCTTTTCTCACTGTAAATTATTTTAAAAAGTTTATAAAGTGGTGTTATCCTGTTTCACAACACTGTTTAACCCAGTGGTTCCCAAACTTTTTTGGTTCTCGGCACCCTTGCTAAATTCAAATTTTCCTAAGGCACCCTATGTCAAATTCTAACAAGTACAATTTGCAAAATAGTCAATATTTTTTTAATTAAAGAACACCATCAGTACAGATACCAATGAATTTGGTCCACTCCAAATTATCTTTGGATATAAAAATATCAGGGATCTCGAACAAGTTGTGAGCCTTAGCACTAGCAATGAAACTTTTACAAAAGAGAAAATCTTCTGTAATGTTATTACTATCTATAAATTGTACATAGCAAATCAAGTGAGCATCATAATTATTATCTGTGTTCTCATCCAGCTGCAACCCAAATTCCTTCCCTTTTATTTTTTCAATTAACTAAACATTGGAGGTCCTTCCCTACGTGCTGTATTCTGCGACTAACAGAGTTATTAGACAAAGGCACTTTTAAAAGCTGCTTTCCAGCACACTCACCAATCATATTGTTCACCATATCTATAGCAGACAGTAGAATGCGTTTTTCTGTGATGGTATGAAGCTTTTTACATTTTGCGATTCTATTACATTATTACTGAGTTAATGATTTGCACCAGGTCTGCTAGATGTTGCATCTTATAACATTGAATTAAAAGTGGAAGTAAAATTATGAACATTTTATAATATTTTTCAGTGTCCCTGTGAGGAAGCTGCAGTGCCCTAGGGAGCTGTGGCGCACACTTTGGGAACTGCTGGTTTAATCTATCAACAAGTTATCGTGGGAATAACTTGCAGATTGTATCAAACATTCTTCCAAGAGCTTAAGTTATTGAAATGAACAATAAAAATTTTATATTTATTAAACCTTGGTTGCAGGAGTAACAATTTAATACACTTATACAAACACACATATATTTGTAAAATTTGAGAATCACTCCAATTTTTCATAAATCAACAAAATTTCTACTTTATTGCAGTCATAAACATAATAACTTTCATTCATAACAACTTTCCAAGTCCTTTTAGATTGATTAACTCTATCTTCAGGGACACATATTACCACAACACATTTCTTAAAACTCAAATTCAAAATTTTTGAATGCATCTATAATGTTTCATACTGTACATTCAAAACTTTGAATTTGTTCTAAGAAATGTTTTCTGGTAAAATGTTCTTCCGAATATGGATGTTATCAGTCCAAGAGTTATTTGGGAATTTATACGAATAAATGTTATTTTTGTGACTCCAATAAAGTAGATTTTTTTGGATTCACAGAGAATATCTCACAAGTGTAGATATTATTTCTGTAATAATAAAAATGCTAATTTTAGCAAAGACTACAATAAATTTTATAGAAGTACACATAGATATATTTATTATTTTAAGCATAAATTTCAATTCTAATATAACTACTATATCAATAAATAATAGTTTCTTAAATAAAAATTAAACAAATATCCAATGCCAATGGGACTTTTAAACAATTTGCATACAGTAGCATAATCAAGGAGAGAACAGGCACATCAGGTACCTTTACCTTTATAAATAATTTAAGAAAAAAACAAGTACAGGAAGAACATTTGAATGTGACAAACACACTTATACATATGTATACACAATATCTCTTCATCCACATACTAGTGGCTATGTCTACAGTGGTACAGGATGAATGTAGGTTTGCATGTTCTAATTTACATCTTTCTCTAATATTGGTCTAGTTACACTGCTGTTTGTACATGAAAGCAGAGATCTTAAAAAGAAAAGTTGACTCTGCTAGTGTTGGTAATGTTTCCAGGGTTGAAATGCATATGATAACTTCAAAATGTTTTTGTCTTAGTCTTTATTTTTATAAAATTAAATGAATTAAGACCATATAATAATTTTTAACCATAGAATTTATCCACTACAACATCAAAATAATGGATATTACCTTCATCAATATATTTATTTGAAATAATTTCATAATATTAAAATCAATTTCATTAATTCATTCATTCATTATTTTTTATAAGGAAATATAAAATTGAACATAAAATACTGTATTATTCAACAACAAACAACAAATACACTTTATCATAAATATCAAAATTTTACAAAAACAGTTGTTTTCTTTTGTACAAATGTTTATGTAAAATTGAAAATGACTTCATATAAGCAATTTTTCTTTCTTGCTTTATATTACTTAAGTTACCAAAAAAAAAATAATAATAATAATAATATTTTATGAAATTATGAAAGCATTAAATCTGATTCCCAAATAAAATCAGTTAATTCATTATATAAAAATTATATTATTTTTGTCAAATTTTATTTCAAATCTTAAATTATCTAATAAATTGTAAATTTAAATATTTTATTTTGATATAAATAAAATTTTACATTAGACATTAGTGAATTCTTTAAAAAATTCACCATAATTAAAATATCCACATCTATTATATTTGGTATATTGTATTTTAATTTAAAATATGCTTAAGAGCTTTTAAAATTAATGTCTGATTAAAAAACAAAAATTATAGAGAAAAACATAGAGAAAAAAAATAACTGCTTATAATACTTTTATTCAATTAAAATCATATTACTAAATAACATTATAAATTTTAAAAATATATAATAAATAGAATTTCTTGGTTTATAGATTTTTCTGTGAAGTAATTAATTTTCTTTATATATATAATTCATTTAATTTAAATATTTGAAATTTCTGGAGATTACTTCTGATGTAAATAAGGTCACATATTAGTGTATATATTAGTAAACATATTTGAACATTTGAGATAATTCTTGCATAAATTCTGAACTATGAAGGAACAAGAGTGTCATGACCCCAGCTATTAAAAATTATTTATAGGACCTTCTACAAAGTTTATATTTTTATTAAATTTATGTGTATATATATGTTTACCATATTTACTAGCATATAAGATGAGGTTTTTATTCATTTTTTACTGCTTCAAAAACCTAGGTTGTCCTATATACATGAGCAAAAAATTTTTTGTTTTTTTGTAATAATTTTTGTGAACCAGGTATTTGCATTTTTTATCAGATACTCACCTTCTGATGTTTAAGAAAAAAGTATTTTATCTGGGTCGTTTCAATTGTTCTTGTGTATTGTCAGGAGTAAAGATGAATAGCAATAGGAAAAGCAAAGCTTTTGAATTGAATTCCAAATTGAAATTCCAAAATCACACAGGAACCAGATATAAGTTTTAATCTAATCCCACGTGAAAACAGATGATTATTCAGAAATCAGAATTCAAAGAAACTCATAAGTGTAATTGACAGAGAGTAGATTTGACTGTTACAAATTAGCAAAAAAGGTTCCCAATTGTCCAGCTTTACATGAACAAATTATGTTGTCAATTTTACAAGATTCTTCTTTAAAGTTTAAAATGCCTGTAATTTTTCTGGGAAAATGTGTGCATTTGATATTTTATTTGTGATTAATTAAATGAAGTAAAATTAGAATTATATTAATAAATCTAATTTTTGATGTATTATTTCTATNCAGTAATTTATTGTTTTTTTTTAAATTTTTTTCTTTGCTTATATTTATCTGGGTACTTCTGTTTAGTTGGGGCAATTATCTTCAGTCCTTTAGGACTTTAATAAAGAGTAAAGAATATGGCAATTTTCAGAGATACTGATAAAATTTTAAAAACTCAACAGGAACAGAATGTAAATACAAATATTTTTTGTGAACAAAATAAACATCAGACAAGAAGAATGATAGAAGTCTTTCCCTTCATTTAGAATAAGAGATAAAATTAAAAATTTTTGGAATAGTAAATTAATCAGTTTCTATTTGTTTAAATATTCAACAGATGGCAGCACGGATTTTGATGAATTACAAAGTACGCTAATTACTAATGTAATAATCTACGCCAGATTTACTCTAATTGATTTATTCATTACGTGATGATAATTTCGTAAATAAATAAGTTGGTAATTNGTTATAATTAGTTTTAATATATTAGAAAAGCTAAAACATACTTTGAAAGAACATGGTTTTGCAATCGAAAACCAGTTCTTTTCGGAATTGTCATCTTAACCACAAATTTTATGCTAGAGAAATACACCGGGGTAGAAAAATAGTCTCTTGTATCTGTCTTCTGTTATAAATATTGGAAAGAAAACCATATGTTCTTTCTGAAAATATAAATATTACAGTTAATTATATACGGGATGCTCATAAATAAAAAGTAGTTGTTAAGAATTGTCTTCATAGAGGCTTATTGGGCAAATTTCAACCAAGTCTGAAATATATGCTGTATTTATTATGAGGTTTTACTTTCCGGCAATGATGTTTTATTTTAGCATTCCTTAAAGAGTGTAAAATATGGCACAGCTTTTTTTCAATGTAGGTGCTTTTTCTAAGAAGAAATTCAGGTTATTCGAAACAGAGTGCAATAATATTATTTGTTTTTTTTTTAAATCTAAGCCCAGCATTATGGTTATATCATATCATCTGTCACAATAAAATATAAAAGAAAACAATGTTCCTATTATTTTTGGACTTCTTAGATTCATCTTCAAGAGGATAATTAAAATTCAAGTATAATACATGCAGAAAATTCAAATTCATTCAAATATA